GTGGTGGGAAGCCATACTAGCATTGCCAACAGTTACATGTCCTGCTTCAGGTAATCAATGGGACTGAGGCCTAGGCTGAGGTAAAACTAGTTACTGTCAATCCTGCTTTTACCATTGAATGCAACGAAATGGCAAATCTTGCAAATTCAAATTCATCGACATGCTGACATGCAGTTACACATCACGACTTCAACGGCACAGAGGATGAAGGAGGAAGCTGTGGTAGATCAAACACAAGCAGAGTGTTAGCTCAGTGTTTGACCCATCCGGGTTATGGTTAGGTTTAGGGTAGGAGTCAGGGTTAGGCATTCATCTTTGATTATTAGGGTTAGGGTAGGGAAAGCATTATGCCAGTGGGAGGTCCCCACAAAGATAGCAAACCAGACATTTGTGTGTGCCATTATGTACATAAAGTGTAACAGACCAGTTTAAAAATATCAGTGTGATGATTGGTGTTAAAGATATTTAATAGCTAACGCTCCGTGAATGGACTCATGGTTATGCCTCACCCTATAATAAAACTTGGAAAACCTGCTTACAATTGCAATTTGTTCTTACTCTTATTCTCATCTTATAAACCATTTTTGTTTTCTGAACAGTTAAAACTGTTCAGGCTAAAACTTGGATCTTTTAAAAAGCAACATACACACACAAAAGGAAAATATCTGGATCAAAGCCTTTTCTGTAATCCAGCTCTTAGTCCCTGTTTGACCTGATTAACAGCCACGGTTGTTGAGTCACTGTGTGTGAGTACCATCTGATGACATTAGAAATACAAACATGAATGTCCAGTGACAAAAGCCACTTCCTCCATCTCCAAGGTGTGGATCAGTGGCAGTGGGTGTGTTTGTCACAGGGATTAAATGGTATTGTTTGTTATTTCAGGTTCAGCCCGGTCGTGCGCGTCGTTAGAAACTTCTCCTTCTGACTTCCCCTTCCACGGCGCTGTTTTTGATTTCATCATTATGTTGGGTAGCAAGACAAAACTCAGATACAGATGATACAGATGAGTAACCTGACACATGGAAAATTACCTTGTGAGAAGAGATTGCTAAAAAAAAAAAAGCCCACAGACACACGTCTTTGATGCGATCTGACAAGCTCTTTGGTGAAGAACCATCTGAGATAAACATGCATTATGAAAACCTAAGAGAGAAAGCCGGAAAGAAAATACTTGCAAATGGGCAAACACTGAGGAGCCGAGCTTCAGCAAACACTGAGTGGTGCCCTCCATGAGTCACTCTGGGCAGGCTCATGAAGAGTCTGAGTATATTTTCCAGGTCTAGAATAAACTAAGCAGCCTAATTTACATGTCCAGCCTGGAATCTCCAAAATATCCCTTCTATAGATAACACATGAAAGCAGGGCACACCCAGCGGTTGATACTTTGATGTCTTTGGGTCATCCCCCTTCATCACCTTCAAAGGAAAGACTCAATCAAGCGGGCAAGACCATAAGTTTTAGGGCACAGTGCAAAATTATTTTTATCCCCAACAGGATGTGAAACAGCAGCTCATATGACCCAATTCTTGCCTTCTGATGTCTTCATACTTTGTCCTTGCTACTCCATTATGTTCCTTCCCATGTAGTCCTCCCCCCCAAATGTAATTGTTGTAAAAATCTGTGAACCTCATTTTCTTGTAATGATGCAATCAAAGTTGTGTTTTTTGCTTTTTTATTTAAAGTGCCCCTTTTCACAATGGAAAACATGATACTGAAGGTATGTTTGTATATGTTAACTTGTACTCCAGATTCCTGTGGTTTAGTTTCATGTGGGCTAACTGATGTTCTTTTTTTCTTTGTTTTCCTTTTTTTTTTTTTGGACATGGATATAGAAAAGAGAACAAAAATAACAAACAAACAGACAAAGTGAATTCGCTGCAGAAAACAGACTGGGGACAAATTGCAGAACAAGAATCAGGAAACTGACCTGACTGACTGAAGAGCTGCTGATGCATAAAAACAACAGATGTAAATAGAGTGCTACAATTTAAAAATACAAAAAGTTTGAATTGTCTCATCCAAACTTGCAAATAAAATTGTCATTATTGGGACATTATTGGGTTTTATGGCTCGTGAAGACACAACAGTGCATCTACCAAGTTTTGTCATTAAGTTTCAGCCTACTAGTGTGTTCTTCCAAGTGCTAAATGGTAAACTTATACTTATAATTATTCATCATATATAACTTATAGAATAGAATAGAATAGAATTCAACTTTATTGTCATTGCACATGCACAGGTACAGGGCAACGAAATGCAGTTTGCATCCATCCAGAAGTGCTTTAGTGATATAGATATATTACAATATATATTAGCAATAATATAGATATGTGAGTATATTACAGAAATGGGTCTATTATGGTATGTTATAATGTACACGGTATGAAGTATGTTGTGAATATTCTATAACTATAAGTATGTACAGGCTGTAGTGAGTACAAGCTATGTACAGGATATGAACAGGATATAAATATGAAAAACTATACAGAATATGAAATAAATAACTTTACAGAATCTGAGATATACAGCTATACAGACATGGGAACTATGCAAGTTGTAAACAGTTGTAGGATTAAAGATTATCGAATGTACAGAATGATTATTTACACAGAGCTATACAGTAGTGCAGTTAAGATAAGTGAGGGTGTAGATAGTTTCTACAGAGGCTATATAAAGTGCTATATATGAGTGAATGTGTAAATGTGCTGTGTTGGATTGACATCTAGTCATTTTTCAGGTCATTTGACTGCAGTGAACTCTCTGTCTTGTTCATGAAATCAGTTAGATTATCTGGGCTTTGTGACATGGCACATTATCCCACTGGACGCAGCCCTCAGAGGAGCACATAGTGGTAAAAAGTGGATGGACATGGTCACCAATAATGTTCAGACAGGTCATCACCTTTAAACGATGCTCTCCTGGTATTAAGGGGCCAAAAGTGTGCAAAGAGAATATCCTCCACACCATTAGACCATCATCTGCTTCCTTTTCTGATGACCTCAAAGCAGGATGGATCCATGGTTTCATGTTGTTTACACCCACCATCCAAATGTCACAGCAGAAACTAAAACTAACCTGGCTGCATTTTTGTTTTGGTGTAGCCTCAGTTTCCTGTTCTTAGCTGGCAGGAGTGGCACCAAGTGCGGCCTTCTGCTGCTGTAGCCCATCTCCTTCAAGGTTTGACGTCTTGTGCATTCAGAGATGCTCTTCGGCATACACTGATTGTGGTGGGTGGTTGTTTGAGTTATTTTTGCTTTACTATTAGCTTGAAGCAGTCCAACCACTCACCACCAGCAGTGCATTTTCATCCAGAGAACTACCACAAACAGGATATTTTTCTCTTTATTGTCTCTAGTGCATTTTTCATGGTAATATCAATTGTTGAGTTGACCCATTTCAGCCTGGACTGAAGCCGTAAACCAGCAGACCTTTACTTCAGACATTAGTATCCACATCACATCCAGCATTAGTCTGGAGGGATGCTGGAGAACAAATTATACAACATGACTTGTAAAAGAGGATGCTGATATCATCGTGATGTGATATGTTATCAGTATGCAGCTAACAAGCGACATGGCTGCTGACAGGTACTGTAAGAGGGATGGCAGCAGGAAATAATGCAGCTCGTCTGCAGAGCAGTGACAGCAGTACTGAAATATTTATCACTGTTTCCATTTCACATGCTCCAATTGTCCTGTATCCCTGTCTGAGAAATGGGAGGATACAAACAAAAGCTGGAAGAAAAGAAGAAAGTAGGAAAACTGTTTGCGTGAAGGCAATAAACTACTAAATGAAACAGGACTTCCCAATAGGTACGCATTTACAATTACTTACATTGTAACTACTGACTAGATTTGTCATTTATCTGATTGCTCTGATTAGTTGTTGCTTTTCTCACAAGGGTCCAAAAAGCTATGTTTTGCATGACGGACTACTGGCAGCTAGGACTGTGCCTTAACCCATTATAGTCATTGATGACGTGTTAATATTAGCCCTTTTTATAAACAGTGTCAAAGGGGAGTTAGTAGGTTCTGTGTAACAAACTATCTGGTTGATGCCAGAGAGATAGTTTCCCTTTAAACATCTTACATGGTTAGATTTCAATTATTGCTCAAGTCATGTTACAACTATAACCCCATCTTTGTTGAGAGGACAAAGTAGCCAGAAGCAAGATAAATATGCAGGATGGGGCTATGTCTGCTTAAATGGACTTAAATGGACTAACCATGTGTGATTAGTTTGTGTCTACTGACTTGATAGCTGCGCGCTAGCTTCTGCATAGCAATAACGGTTATCAGCCATGCTAGTATCAACTGCATCCTCATTCTAGCAATCTTGAATATACACAAGAGTTATTTTAGTTTTGTATTTTCTAGTTATTTTTATTTAATTTGAATTTTGGTTTTTATTTGGTTGTTATCAGTGAGTTTCCAGAGTCGATTTCTTGCTTAGTTTTTATTGTTTAAAAATGTTTCTGTTTTATTTTGTTTTGTTTTATAACAATTTAAGTATTATTGCATGCAATGCATATGTCAGAAGCTAAACTAGCAACTAAAATGTTTTTTCACATCTAGTTTTTTCTCAGGAGGTGCACGTCGGATTTACGAGGAAGCATATGGCGCAAGGTTAAAAGGCATTTCCATTTACGTTGTAAGTCACCACGGCATTTCCTGCAGAGATTTAAATCAGGCAGTGCTCCAGCGCTAATGTTTAATAAGGTGGGCGTGGTGAAGAAGAAGAAGAAATAAGTAATCCTAAGAGGTGGGTTGTGTTTGTAACTGCTATATATTGTTGAACCACTTGTGTGAATGCGCATGTGCAGAAATACTTCGGGGTGGTGAGGAGGGGGTGACTTTGGTTCCAGGCCCCAGAAAATCTAGTGCTGTCCCTGGGATAAAGGGGCGGGGAATGAGGAGAAAGAGAGGCAGAGAGACATAGGGACTGACTGCAAGAGAGAGGGCGGAGAATAGAGAGAGAGAGAGAGAGAGCGAGCGAGCGCAGCAGGCAGCAGGCAGCGGTCCGGCACTTGGTCGGTATGTAGCAGCAGCAGCGGAGCTTCTGTCTGGGACTATAGCGAGAAAAAAACGCGCCTTGGGTTGAAAATATTAGTAAGGGGATTAAAATTAAAACTACCCGAGGATGAGACACACGCCGTCCGCCTGAAGGAGACTAAAACACGCCGTTATTCCGCTAATTTACCACCTTTTTTAAACGAAAATGGCGAACGACTCTCCGGCTAAAAGTCTGGTGGACATAGACCTGGCATCCCTGAGGGTGAGTGTGCTTCACAGTGACATTTTCACACTCGCGTTTACCCTCTTTCTCCCTCTGATTTTTTTAACAAAAAAATACAATCACACAGCGAGGCAGTGCTGTTGTTGACACAGCCCTACGGCAGCTTTTCTTTGTCTATATCCGCTGGCATGAGAAGCGAACCGGGCGCAGCCGGCTCCTGCATCGAACGAACCCGCTTGTAATTGCTACGGGGAATCAATTAATCCGCTTCTGCTGTTTGTCTTTTTCTTTTAAATCCAGGATCCTGCTGGGATTTTCGAGCTGGTGGAAGTGGTCGGAAATGGTACATATGGACAAGTCTACAAGGTTGGTCTGAGCCTCCATCTCTCTCCCTGTTTCTCTCAGAGTGTGTGTGTGTGTGTGTGTGTGTGTGTTTAAGCACCATCTGAGAACAAACTGGCGGCGGAAACTGGAGCACAAACATGCATTTATGTATTTTTTCCTCTCTCACGGTCTCAGGAACACGTTTTTATAACATTACCCCCTCCCCTCCTTCACTTGGGACCAGTGCGGTCTGGACTGGATTATCTCTGATAGCGTTTTGACCGCTCTCTCTGCTTTACATCCATTTATTTATTTTAATTATTTCATCTTAATGTTATTCAACGATGCTAACATCATCCCGGTAACGTTAGGCCTATTTTGGTCCTGAAGAGATCCCTCCTCCCTCTTCTCCTCCTCTCCTCATCCACACCCCAGTGAAATATTCCTTGCACAGTGCACGCGTTGCCTCGCACTGACAGGGCCGACCCAATCCGTGCATGACAGGCTTCACCACGCTGACCGACTTGTGCGCCATTGGGTGGGCGGTGTTTCATTGCGCATTTGTGCACACCGTTGCCCGGCAGGCCTTTCTGCTGGAGCGGCCCTGTGCTGCATTAATGGGAGGGGGGAGGAGGTAGGCCTGTTCATCCCATCACACTTAGCGGAAAAGGCATTTGACGGAGACCTGGTACTCTTGCAGCCCAGTTTTCCACCTCCATAGCCTGGCAGAGATGAGCAGCAGAGCAGCGACATCACCCTGTTGTTGTTATTTGGCAAAGCTGAGAGCACAGGGGAAAAAAGGAGGAATGGGTTACAGCTGATGGATCTGCCAGAGCTTCTGTTGAGCTGGCTGCTGGAAAATAGCGTCTCACACACATGCAGCTTTGTATCATATAAAGCTTTTGCATTTCTGAATGTTGCTGTGGTTTGTTTTCAAAATATGTCACATGAATATCATGTAAAACACAAAGCAGGTAAGGCTTGGATGGCTGTGACCTGCAGTCATTTGCAACATCTGACACTTGTGTAGCACAAATTGCAAGTCAAATCTGCAATCCACTCTTATGTTCCTGAAGCTAGAAAATAGTCCCCGTATGTGTATGTTTGTGCGTTTTTTTTCCTTCCCCCTTCTGTGATGCATTCTAGCAATGGCATTGGCCCAGCCCAAATCCTTTTGGAATAACTCCAACTGAATTTCACTGAACAACAAACACCTTGACTGAGATTTGTGGTGCACATGCTCTCTCCACCAGGTTTTTTTGTAGGATTAATTGAAACTGACTTTAGGTTTTGTCGAGCTCTTTTCACACGTGAACACACATGACATTGTCTGAAGTTGTTCTTTCTTACATGTCGCACACAGTGGGAGGAGTGCGTGCCGGTGCTGTGATTTCATTGCTGCAAGTACACCGTTAATTTAAGTGTGCTGCCTCTCTGGTACGCGCAGGAGGCATGACTTTACTTGCTAGCTGTGAACAAACCAGTCTTATCACATGAACTGTTCTTAAATCTGCGCATCTGGACGTCACACAGATTTTAGAGTAGAGAAGTAGGAGGTTATAGTCTGATGGGTGAATGTCTGGGAAAAGTTCGGGGCTGCTATGCATAAGGTAAGCTAGGCAGGGGTTTAATACAGTCAGCTAGCTTAATCAGCTCTTCCTAAGCATTAAATCGTGATTTAATTTGGATGACAGAATTGTTTTTGGACAGTACACAGAGGGAGGGGGTAATTCCGTCATTTAAGTATGACTGCAGCTGTCAGCCAGTGTTTTTGAACTGGATAGTGGCAAGATCTCGAATGACAAAACTAAATTTTTAGGGTTTGCCTTTATTTTGGTGCCCAAAAAGACTTTAAAAAAAGAGTTACATCAGCCTCATAATATGTTTAGTACTGTTGTTATGGAGGTTGTAACATGTGCTAGAAATCGTGACATGAAGAAGATTGAAAATAGATTAAAGTTATACATAAATATAACTTCAAGCAACTTAAAGAAGTCCAGACACTTTTCTTTGCAAGCTCCTTTGACTACGTTGACCTGGATGACTGAGAACATTCACAGACATATACATAAATATGTTCTCCAATCGTAGGCAGTATAAAAAATGGAGGTTGCCTCCCTATCGCAAAAATGAAGTCGGTGCGTAAGTGCCTTAAACCTGCAAGGCCCACTATATGGCGATAGCTGTGGTTGCAAAAAAGGACTTCTGGTCCTGTAGATGTCTGCGGGAAAATATCTTTTTACTTGACCTCCATAAATGTTTCTGAATTTATGGGCTCAGTCACTCATTTCAAATTGAACGGAATAAGTCTATTTTATAACTCTTGGTCAAGCCTGTGTTTTAAAATTAAGGACTGCCTGCTCATTGGCTATAAGTTGTCAGTCACTAGCCGCTCGGCTACTAAGATAAAGAAATGCTTATCTCAAGGCTTCAGTTGGAACCTCAGAATCTAGTGGGTGACATTATTGTAGCCACGTCCATCTTTTATACTGTCCACACCACCTAGTGGTCCTGCAATCCTGAAGTGGATAAGTAGAAAAAAAAGAATGGATGGATATATGCTATGTTGTTTATCTCTAGCTGGTTAACATGCTCCATATGGTAGCAATGGTATGAGATCATGTTAAAGCCTCGATAGAGTCCATCTGGAACACTTACTGTGGACAAAGATTTGCTTTGGCTCTGCTAATGAATACAGTCCTAAAGTGTGAATGGAGACCCATAATAAAGGTTTCTGAAGCCTGATTTTAATAAAATATAATATTCCCATATATTTATATATTGTCAATTTTCATTTATCGGCCATCATAAATGTCAATAAGGTCACATCAGCAAAAGGGTAATATCACCCAATGGTATTGGCTGGGCAGTCTTAGGACTGGCAGTCCAGTCTTATGCAAGCATATTTTGTGAGCTTATGTTCGTCTGACCTCTCGTATTTACACATGTACGTTAGGCATCGGTGTTCACAGTAGAGTACAAGGCTCTACTGCATCTTTGCTTTTGGGGATTACACGAGTCACTGGCAGCACCGAGCGATTCCTCTTATTGAGAGGAGCGTCACTTTGAATTTCTAGTTGTGGATGGCGAGGCCGGCCCTGAGGCGAGCCTCTATAAATGCACGCTCGGTGTGTGCAGCGAAATTTCTCCTTGTAATTATACACAGTGGGTGTGTTTGTTTGGCTGTTTTTGTTTTTTCGGTGCTGCAAGAAAAAGAAGACTGAATGAGATCTCGATTTACTTTGAATTATTATTTTTTGTTTGTTTCTTTGTGGTTGGCGGGGAGTGGAAGGCGACGGTGGCTGTAAACGTTTCATTAGAGCAGGGGACAAGTGGTTTTGGAAATGCTCTGATGCACCGAAGCACAAATTAACCTTGACATTTTGAGTTTAGTTCCTCAGGATTCAATGAATCATAATTACGTGTGCCAACCAGGGTTTGAGTGAAGCTGAGGCTTTTTTTCCCTGTGCTTGTCTGTGCCGCCTGCCTCGCTAACATCTGACCCAAAAACCTATGTGTGTGCCTGTGTGTGTTTGGGTCTGCACATGTGCACTTGATCCTCCACACTTGGCGATTGGTCAGGTTTCCCAGGCTGGCGAGTAGCTGCAGAGCATGACAGAGTGAGGAGTGTTGCAGCTGTGTGCACCGACAACAGCTGTCGGGACAGAGAAATAAAAACAGGAGAGGGAGTAGAGCGGTTGGGGAGAGAAAGACAGAAAAGATGAAATACGCAAGAGAGAAGATTTCACCATTGAGGTACCAAAGTGTTTTAATTTGCTTGTAGAAAATAAAGACGAGGGCCTCAGTGCATCACTCACACCGCTGTGCAAGCCACGTATTATATTGAACATTCCAGACGACAAGTTTGCCTCCACGCGATGGGGTTTCGAGTTTAGCGTAATGTGTAGGTTTCACTGGATTTCTTTGAAATGAAAAGCTGAAACATCTGCAAAAAACATGAAAAGAAACAAATGAATATGCAGAGGTCACAGTGTTTCTGTTTCCATTTAAACAGTGGGAGGTGAGGGAAAAGTTCAATCAAAGCTGAAGAGAGGGGCTGGAGGAAATTTTAAAACTCCGGTGTAAGGCTGCACTCAGCATGTGGGGCTGGGAATCCCCCTCTCTCTGAGGAAATGGTTTAACCCATTTATGACTTTCTGAGCTTTGAGTCTCGCTGCGCTTCTTTCCTTTACTCACTGTTTCAGGCTCACCGGCTCACTCCGTATTACAAAGTTGTAACAAAGTATCCGAGTCGAGTAAACGAATAAGCTTTTTGGCTTTACTCCCCAAAGATGAAGCTTGTTACCTCATTTGTAGAGTGAATGGAAATTTGTGAGGAAGCAGTGAAACAGCGGAAGTCATCAGCATAGTGAGGAGAAGTTGATGGCTGTGCTCTGATGGCTAGATTAGAAAAACCACAGCCCTGTTCCTGTTGTTCTGTCATGTATCCACACGATGTATATCAGAGGTTTCAGATTTATAAAAATTCTGCAATAATATGAGATTTAAAGTGGAGTAGGAGACCACACTGTGGATCATGTTCAGCTTATTATCAACATGCTAGAGGGAGTACAAAATATCAGTTGAAATAACATAATTTCCACAAATGTGGAAAGCCTGGAAATATCCAGTTTTTACATGAGCAATTAGAATTTATACTCTTTAAGGCCTTTACACACCCTTAAGTATTTATTAAAAAGTACAGATGGGCCACAAGATTAAAATGCCCGACAGGCACAGTGGGTAACTTGGCTCATCTTGTTATGGTGCCGTGTTCTGCTGGGAAACCTGGCATTCATGCAGGTGCCACCTTAAGTCATAAATCAAAAAGCAAATTAAACACCCCGCCTCAGTGTGCCTCAAAAATACTGCAAAAACTGCAGGAGGTATACACCATGCAAATGGAGCAGGATACGCTGGGACAAGCCTTATCCATGGAAGACCCGCCCAGCATCCCAACCTCAGAGGATCCAGTGCCCATGAGCCTGGTGTCAGCAGACAGCACAGGATGGATCATCACCACCTCGATGGGTCAGAGCTTA